CGCAGAGCTTTTTGCGAAGTGCCACGGGGCAAGTTTCTCTGGGTGCCACAATAGCTCGGGGTCCCCCGATAGCTCGGGCCCCCCCGGGCTGCAAAGGCCCCCCGCCCGGACTGCGCGGAGACCCCCCCGGACCATTGGGCCCCCCCCCGGGCTGCAGGCCCCCCCCCCCCCCCAGGACTGCAGGCGCCCTCGACTACAGGGCCCCCGGCCCCCCCCCTGACTGCGGGCGCTTTCCCAGCGCGGGTGCTGAGCATTTGCCGCGACGAAGACGCGGTAGCGGCGGGCGCCGTTGTCCTGGGCGAGGGCCCCCCCCACGCGCGCGAGCGCGCGCGCGCTGCCAGCGAAATCGCCGCGCGCGCGTGCCGACGAGAGAACGCCCGCGTGCGTGACCTCCAGATGAAGACAGACTGCGTGTTTTGATAAGTTTTAAAACATCGTCGCTCCGTCCTTGTCCATTCCTGTTCCTCTCCCTCTACTCTTCCTGGTTCCTCTTTCTGGCCCCCCGCCTTCCTTCGCCTGCCCCGGGCGCTGCCGCGCGAGCAAGTGGCGCCCCTCTGCGGCGCTCCTGGGCGCCCAGTGGAGCGGCCCCCCACTCGCGCTAAAGCGGTTCCTTCGCCACGCCTGGCCCAGTGGTTTCGGGCGCGCAGCTGCTGCCAATCAGCTGCGCCCCCGCGGGGCCCAGCGGAGCGGCGTCCAACAAATGAAATTCCTTGCCATTGAAAGGGGGGGGGGGGGGGGGGGGGGCTCGGACGCCCCCCCCTCCCCCGTCGAAGGGGGGGGGGGGGGGGGATTTTCGCCCCCCCTCCACTCGGGGAGTCGCGAGTATGGAGTAGGGAATCGCGAGTAGAGAGTAATGAATAGCGAGTAGAGAGGTAGCGAATAGTGAGTAGTGCGTAGTGAGTATTGAGTAGTAAGTAGTGAGTAGTAGTGAGTACTGAGTAATGAGTAGTGAGTAGTGAGTAGCAAGTAGTGAGTAATGAGTAGTGAGTAATGAGTAGTGGGTAGTGAGTAGAGAGTGATACGTAGGGAGTAGTGAGTAGTGAGTTGTGATCAGTGGGTAGCAAGTAGTGAGTACGGAGTAGTGTGTGGTGAGTCGTGAGTAGTGGGTAGTGGGTAGTGAGAAGTGAGTAGCGAGTGGGAAGTGGCAAGTAGAGAGTAATGAGAGGCGAGTCGTTGGTGGTGAGTAGTGAGTAGTGAGGAGGCAGCAGTAAGTAGGGGGTAGTGAGTAGCGAGTAGGGAGTAGCGAGTAGGTCGTGAGTAGTGAGTCGTGAGTAGTGAGTAGTGAGTAGTGAGTAGTGCGAAATGAGATGTGGTAAGTGGGTCGCGAGTAGTTGGTTGTGAGTAGTGAGTCGTGAGTAGTGAGGAGTGAGTAGTGAGTAGTGAGGAGCGAGTGGGGAGTAGTGAGTAGTGAGTGGTGGGCATTGTGTAGTGAGTAGTGAGTAGTGCCTAGTGATCGGGGAGTATTGAGTAGTGAGTAGCGAGTAGTGAGTAATGAGTCGTGGGTGCTGAGTAATGAGTAGTGAGTACTGGGTAGGGTGTAGGGTGTAGTGAGTAGTGAGTAGTGGGTAGTGAGTAGTCGGTGGTGGGTGGGGAGTATTGAGTAGCGATTAGCAAGTAGGGAGTAGCGAGTAGTGAGTAGTGAGTACTGAGTAGCGGGTGCTAAGTAGTACGTTGTGCGCAGTGCGTAGTGAGTAGAGAGTAGTGAGTCGTGTGTAGTGACTAGGGAATAGGGAGTAGTGATTAGTGACTAGTGAGTTGTGAGCAGTCAGTACCCGGTGGTGACTAGTGAGTATTTAGTAGCGAGTAGCGAGTAGGGAGTAGTGAGTAGTGAGTAGCGAGTAGATAGTAGTGAGTAGTTACTAGTGAGTAGTGACTAGTGAGTAGGGAGTAGTGAGTCGTGAGTAATGGACCGTGTTTAGTGAGTAGTGAGTAGTGGGCAGTGAGTAGTGCGTAGTGAGTAGTGAGTAATGAGTATAGAGTAGTAGGTAGTGAGTCGGGAGGAGCGAGTAGGACGCAGTGAGTACTGAGTAGTGGTTAGTGGGTAGTGAGTAGTGAGTATCGAGTGCTGTTTGGGGCTAGGGTGAGGGGTTGGGTTTAGGGTCTGGGGCCAGGGTGAGGATTAGGGTAGGGGGTGGTCGGGGGGGGCGGGTTCTGGAATCAGGGGGCGGCGTGGCGAAGGGGGGGGGCGGTCGAATTTCGAAACCAAGGGGGGGGGGGGGGCGGACCCCCCACGTTTTTGAAGGGCGGGGTTTCCGACGACGGACTGGGAAAAGGGGGGTGGGGGTCCCCGGCGACGGACAGGGAAAGGGTGGTGGTGGTGGTGGTGGTGGGGTTCCCCGACGACAGATCGGGGAAAGGGGGGGGGTCCCACCCCCCCTTTTGGGGGCATCCAGCGGCGCGCCCTCCAACAAATATCAAGAGTGCATCCTTCGCCCCCCCCTGGGAGCTGCCACGCGCGCGACTGTCGCCACGCTGCCCCCCATGGGAGCTTCCTGGCGCAAAATCTGTTGTTTTCCTGCCGCGCCCCTTGATGTCCGTCCAGCGGAGCAGCGCCCCGCGCAGATCGCAATATCTCCGTGGCGTTGCGGAGTGACGTCCGTGTGCGCCAAGGCCCGCGCGTGCAGGTTTCTACGCAGATGGGATTCCGCGCGCGCTCGAAGTTCCGCGCGCGTGGCGCCGCATTCGCGCGGTCAACCGCGCGCGGGCGATAATAGCACATATCCCCGTTTTCCCTCCTCTATTATCTATCCCCGTTCAATAGGATTTAATTGTGGATAGGGGCGCGGAGGCCGAACTTGATAATCTACGGGGGAAGTTGCGAATCGAAGTTGCGATCATCTCATGTTGAGTACCACCAGCATCAAACATGCTGAAAATGGCCATGGTGGAATGATTCGAACTCCAGCGCAAGAGAGGTTTTTTGGCCAGAACAGCCAAGGACCTCTGTTGCGCTGGCATGTTGTAGGCACGAGCCTCGAGATCTCTCGAATCAGTCTTGTGCCGAGCGCCCGCTGGCAAGTTGTATAGCCACGAGCCTCGAGATCTCTCGAGTCAGTCTTGTGCCGAGCGCCCGCTGGCAAGTTGTAGCCACGAGCATCGAGATCTCTCGAGTCAGTCTTGTGCCGAGCGCCCAGGACCACCATCATCAGGATCATCGTCATCATCATCATCATCATCATCATCATCATCATCATCAGCATCAGCATCAGCATCAGCATCAGCATCATCATCATCATCATCACCATCATAATTTCACCTTCCCCGGGGAAATCGTTGATTATCCCCGCCAGACCTCCGAACTTTATAATCTCCCGGGTATTATTATCGCTTGCAGTCGGTTAGCCAGGCGCGGGGCCGAGGCTTCCACCACCTGGACTGCGCAGGCCCCCCGCGGATTACAAGGGACCCCCCCATGGACTACAAGGCCCCCGTCGCCCCGGATCAACAGGGCCCCCCCCAGCGGCCCCCCCGGACAACGAGGGCCCCTCCTGGGACCCCCCGGACTATTGGCCACCCCGTAGCTATTGAGGCATTCAGAGTACCTGCGGGCGAAGAGAACGAGGCGGTTTTGGTAGCAGCAGGTCGTAGCACGTATCTGGCGCAATATGGCGCGATGGAATAACTTGGCGCGAGGTAAGTCAGACCTGCAGTTCGCTGTCAAGGAACTAGCTAGACGCGCGGCGTCACCCGCAGCGGAATCATGGAAAGCATCCTCCAGGGTAGGGAAATATTTGACAAGGCCGTGACCAGCCCTGGTGCGCGTAATTATGAGCATCAATGCGCGAGTGAAGAGTTCAGAGCCTGGACTGACGCAGATTTCGTTGGATGTAAGAGAACGACGTCACCCGCCAGCGGAGGAAGCGTAATGTGGGGGCGTCCGTCGATACAGTCTTGAACCTCCATAAAGACAGCAATCGCACTCTCATCGCGAGAGGCTCAGTGACATGGGATGGTAGAAAGAGCGCCGCTGGCAGTAGGCTTGCAATCGGTCCTGAACGTAACCAATCCGACCTGGATCATGAGGTCGATGGGGGGGTGTTCCAGTATAGGGCTGCAGGTTGCTGTGCAATTGCTGGCGTTTGGCTCAAATAATGATAACTGCCGTCGGGCTGCTTGACATTGTTCGGTCTAGTGCTCGGTCTTAATTACTATTGTTTTGGTAAGTTTTGCAGGAGGGGGAGAAGGAGGAGGAGGAGGGAGGATTGGGGAACATGAGGAAGGGCAGAGTGGTGTGGGGTGGGGTGGGATGGGGGGCAATGGGGACCGCGAGCCCAAACCGATGATGGCGATTGCCCTGGAGCCAAAGTGAAAGACTTTCTCAGGCGGGGCCCCACCGTCGGAGTATTTGTGGGGGGCCCGCGAATTTGAGTGGCGTTGCTCTTCCTTGGGGATGGCTCGCATCTTTCCGGGGCGGCTCCGGGGTCCAATGCTGCGAGTGAGGGAGCAATAAGAAGGAGGGTCACCACCCACCAAACCACCCCAACCCAACCCGAAGGCCTCAATTTGCCCTCCATTTCCAGTGGGGCGGTCGGGGAACGCTGAAAAAACACATGGAACCCGTGCCCCCCCCAAACCCGAAATTGGGGTCTTCGGGTTGGGTTGGGGTGGTTTGGTAGGTAGTCAGAGGGGGACGAGGAAGAGGGGGGTTCTTCAGCACGCCGTCGCCGCCCGGCGGCAGCGGGCTGCTGAGGTTGGGCAGCAGGGGAGGCCGCCGTGACTCGCGGGCGTCTCTCCAGCTGCTGGAGGAAGGGGGTGGAGAGGAGGGTGTGGGGGAGAGGGAGGGGAAGTGGGGATGGCGGGGGATGGGGAGCTGGAGGAAAGGGGGGGGAGATGTGTGAGGGGGGGCTGGGGGACTGAGGAGAGAAGAGAGAACAGGGAGGAGGAGGAGGAGGAGGAGGAGGAAAGGAGGAGGAGGAGGAGGAGGAGGAGGAGGAGGAGGAGGAGGAGGAAAGATCACGAAGAGCAGGAGCTGGGGGAGGAGGGCACGCCGCCTCCGCCAGGAGATGACCCACCTCCGGGCCGCCCGCCCGCGGGCGGGCGCGCCGGCGGTGGCGGAGCTCCGCGGGCCGCCGCGCGGCGGGCGCGTCGTGGGGGGCGCGGCCGTGCGGCCGCGCTGGCCGCGTCCCAGCAGGGCGAAAGAACCGGGGAGAGTGGCCCGTCGCCTGGTCCTCCTCCTCCTCCTCCTCCTCCTCCTCCTCGTCCTCCTAGTGGCCCGTCGCCTGGTCCTCCTCCTCCTAGTGGCCCGTCGCCTGGTCCTCCTCCTCCTCCTCCTCCTCCTCCTCTTGCTGCTCCTGCTCCTCTGCCTCATCCTCCCCCCTCTTCGTCTTCGGTCCCGCAGGGTGCGGCGTGACATCCCACCGCTCACCCTGGGGCCCCGGTCCTCGCGCGCCGAGCTCGGCCCGCGGGCTCGCCGCTCCGGATGCCCCCTGCGACGAGCGCCGCAGTGCTCTGCTCGTGGGCCTCTTCCGCTCCGCGTCGGCTTTTCTGCAGGCGGGGGAGGAAGTTGTCGTTGGGTCTTGGGGATCTTCTCGCCTCGGGAGGCTCTCCAGCAGCTGCGCCTCGTCGGGTGTCTGAGCCGCCCTGGGCGGCCGGGGGAGCGTGGGGGCATGACCTGGAAGCCTTCGGGTGCCGAAGAGGGGGGGGGAGGAGGACTGGGGGCGTGTGGACCGGGTGTGCGTGCGCTGCCGGTCTCTGCGCCCCTGGGCGGTGTGCTCGCGGTGGCGCCCGAGCCGGGCCGAGGCCGCCGCTCTCCCTCTGGCCGTGCCGCCGGCACGCGGCGCAGCGCCTCGCCCCGCGCCAGCGGGCTGCTTCTGGGGCGGCCATCCGAGGCACGCGCGCGCAGCGCAGGAGGGGAAACGACACACACAGACACAATGAATCGTCGACTCCCAGGAAAAGATGGGGGAAATATGGGAGGTGGGGGGGAAGACGAAGACCCAGAAAGTATGGGAAAGTATGGGGAATGCTTTTATTTGTGTGTGTATTTATTTGTGTGTTCCAGGGCCCCTTCAGCAGAGGCAGCCCTGCAATATCAGGACAGCCCGGCAACATTAGGGCCTTCCGCCGGCGCAGAGGGAGACCCAGGCAGCAGGGGGCGCCATCCGTTTACAACTTCGGTCATCCGAGCATTTGAAGCAGATTGCCTCTTCCACCTCCTCCCCCCTAGAGGCGCCCGCTGCGGCCGCGGCAACTTTTTAGTCGCGATTTCTGCCCACGCGTCCTTCATGGATGCACGGCTTCTTTGCTTGCTTGCTTGCGTCGAACCTAGGGTCCAAATATACCTCAAGTTTGGGGCGCTGGTCGCGGAGCTCAGCATCGGAGGGCTTGAGTGGTTATAGGACGTGGTGGGGAACCTGCACACGCGTGAACAGGCCATGGCAACCCCGGTAGTTGAGGCGAACTGTGGGCAGAAGAACCTAGAACCTAGATGTAGAATGTCAATGAGCAGGGAGGAATCTTTCCTGCGGCCAACGCGTGGCTAGTGCAGTTTCGGCGGGACGTTCAGGCGCTCGAGGGGGCCTCGGAGGAGTCGGCGCTTCTGGAAGTCCTTTAGTGCAGTTTTTGGGGGCATTTGTTTGAGGGGGGAATGCTGGGGGGTGTTTCGGTCTGATCGACGTCTCGGATCTCGGGCCCAGAGAACTCTCTCGCTCCGTTCTCCCCCCCCCCCTGGGAGCGGCCTCCGCTGCTCCTCGGCCGCCGACTCCAGAGGGCCTTTTCAGCTCGGCCTGCCGAGCTTGGCGCTCCCAGTCTGTGATGGAAGTCTCCCGGAGGAGAAGCGCGTGGTTGCGCACTGCGTCGGAGATTTCGGGGGTGGACAGGCCTCCTACCTTGACACGTCGATTAGCGAATTAGCCGTCTTCGGTCCGCGAGAGGGCGTCGCGGCCGTCATTTTTGCGCGTCCGGGTCCGTCGGTTTCGGTCTTGGGCCGTTTTCGCCAAAGGGAGGTTTACTAAATGGAGATGTGTCCACCGCCGAAAGAGCGTGGTTGCGCATTGCGTCGGAGATTGTGCGAGAGGGGCTTTTCAGCTCGGCGTGCCGAGCTTGGCGCTCCCAGTCTGTGATGGAAGTCTCCCAGAGGAGAAGAGCGTGGTTGCGCACTGCGTCGGAGGTTGTCTTGGCATCGCTCGGACGTGTGCATTTTTTCTCGGCGAGAACCATCGAGGACCACCCTGAACCATCGAGCAAAAAGAGACACGCACGAAACCGACAAAAAAGCTCAGGGGATGGACGCCCGAGCGGGGGAGAAGGGCGCAGTGGCCATCCTCGGACGGGCCTGCGCCGCCGGCCGCACCCCCCGCGCTGCCGCCCTGTCGACCCACTGCGCGCCGTGCCCCGGAGCACACCCTGCAGGTCGAGGTCGCACGCCCCGTGGCGCCCTGCACCGGCTCTGGAGCACGAGGGGGTGCGTGCCGGATCCAGGGGAACAAAAAGTGGCACAGACATAAAGACTCGGGGGTCCGCGCGGATTTCTCGGATCGGCGCTGGGGCCCCCCGGCGGCG